ATGCTGCAGCATATTTATGACACATTTGGCAGCACGCTGGACGTGCTACAGATTGTGTGCACCTCCAGAGGTCAGCTCTTTGCTAGCTGCTCCCAAGTAGGAAGCCTTCAAAGGGTACGCACATGGACTCTACAGGAGATAGGCAGCTCACACTGTGGCTGTGTGCCAGAAGTCTTATGAGCCACAACTCCTCTTCTTGAACCAGCTCCTCAATTCACCCTCCCCCTGGCACTGAGGCAACAGAGTATTGTCTCGGACGGCCGGAGCCGACTTGAGGTGATTTTCGAAATCACTCGTTCACTGGGCGGGCTGGTGAATGGAGAGGCAGACAAAGCTTAATGGTTGCAAAAACTTTACTTACGCCGCTTGTAGCCGCGACGCAGACGGTCCGGTCGTTTGAACAACTATGTGAGTTGTTCCAGCTGGCAAGGCTCAGGCCAGCTAATCTGTCCACAAATTAAGCCGGCGGGGAAAGGGTACATTGAGGATTGCGCTCGGCGACGGGGAGAAGACGCGATAGGTGATCAGTCTATCGATCAGCTCAGCCGCAAGTCAGATCTCTTTAGAGGCACTCTGCAGCGTGCTCAAAGTTCTCCGACTTGGGCGGAAGTCGCACGAAATTTTAAACGGCTAGCAAGCCAATTACTAGCCGCCACGTAGGAATAATTTAGAACTGGCCAATAGCGGGACACAAATTTGCATTCAAATGGCGGGAACTCTCTTGCACCGAGGTTTTTCTGTTGCAACAAAAACCTTTGCTGTGCAAGAGACTCTCATGTGGCAGGAAAATTCCATCGTGCCGAGGCACCAAAATCATTGGGTTGTGACAAGTATGACACTTGGGAACGTGGGTTCCATCCACATCACCTCCAGGACAGGTAATGAACTCTACCTTAACCAGACCCACAGAGCACAATGGCATAGGTTTACAGACAGTGTGCAAGCTGAGAGAAGCTACAAGCTGCCTCAGAGATCACAGTCAGCACAACTCAAATCCATAGTACTTAACCACCCAAAGGCCAAACTATATAAGCAAACCACAAAAAGATTTTCCTAGTAACATCGAAAGTTTTCCATTTCTGTTTCAGTCAACCCTTGGAAGCAGGACTAGACTTAAACTCAAGCAAGATGCAGAGACAGCAAATTTGTGCAACAAGAGATACCAGACAATGCATGCAAGAAGGAAATGCATGAAGAGCGTTAGCCACAGCTCTCCACCCTGCCTCTGTACTGAGCACTTTACATTTTCTAACAGAACAGCTCACAGGGATGTTTTACAATGCTTTGTTGTCATTCTTGCATGTAACAGATGGAACTAGATGCTATTTGCCCTCGAGGTTTCTGAAGGCCTTAAAACCCCAACGTTGAAAAGGGGCTAATGTACTTAAATCTCACAGGTGTTGGATGATTACTTACTCAGGCAGGAAGGAATGTTCCATAGCCACGGTTAGATGTGAATTGTACAATAAACCAACTGAATTCTCTGCTGTTCAGATCTCACTCCCAGAATATCCAGGGCTGGCCCCTGGCAAGAACAGAAAGGTGAACTTGATGGAACAATGAAGTGAAAAGCTTGTGAGGGCTCTCTCTCTGTTCCTGCTACTAGAAGAGATGGGGAAGGCCACAAAAACAAACGCAGCCACTCCCAAGTTTTCAAGAGTTAACTTATTCTGCTCACACCATCACCTTAGCCAGTCCAGTAGCATCGAAGAAATCCTGGGAGCAGTAATCCCTACTGTGCTGAAAAACTCACAGTTTTGACTAAAAAAAAAAAAAAAAAAGAGAGAGAGAGATGGCCACATTACTTAGTGTATTTGGTCTCTTTCAGTCCTGGATCCTTTTCAGATGTTGTTGCCTCCAGGCCAGAACATTTGATCATCTTTGAAATAGTGAAACTTCTTGCCTGGGCTCAGGCCCAATTCAATTCCCTTGCCGAATATCTAGCTGCTATTTCAGGGACTCTCAACTAGGGTATTGTGGCACCCTGGGGTGCCTTGAGACCCTTTCAAGGGTGCTGTGGGGTGCTGCACAATATTAGCACTGCAAGGCATGCAAACATGATTCACAAGATAAATCCAGAGATTTCAAATAGTGTTAAAAACATTCTGACCTGTTGTGGGCTCTCAGTTTTTTGTAACAGACAAATGGCTCAATTATTTTTCTCTAGTCAGAAAATGAGTAACAATTAAGAGCTGGCATTTTCTGAACGGCGCCTGGAGTCTAAAATGGTTGAGGACCATTGTGCTAATTTCTCTCTCTCTTTTTTTGCACCACATATGCTTTGTCAGCCAGCACCAACTGTTCCCACCTATGAAATAAACAAGACACCTTCGAGTTGTTCACTTTTCTTTTTAAGCTTAGTCCTATCTCAGCAAACACAGCAGAAAACACAGCAACACACTGGGTTCTGCCACCTTCATGGATTGTTCTCCAGTCATTATATGAATGACTAGAACGTGCTCTGCTCTATGGCAATGGCAAGTAACCATCAGTTGAACAAAGTCTGGGTACCCCCCCCAAGAGAAAGAATCACAGGCACAAATCACAGTTGCTTGAAGCTAAAGGAAGAAAATCTCCCTTTACTTTGAAGAGACATCAGTTCTCCCAACTCACAGGGCACTTTCCCATCCAGATTCACTGCAGAAAGCTACAGCTCAAGGACTCGGAGGCCAGGGCCTTCCTAAATGACGGGAAGGGACTGCCAAAGATGTGTAAACTCAACTACGGAAACTCCTCCTCTGCAGCTTCAAAACAATCTCTAAAACAGAGTTAGGAAAGAGAGTTCAAGAAGTCACAATGCCAATGCATCCTGTGACAGTCCATACCCCACCAGTCATCTCTCACAGTGTGTACACAATGGCTGCTAGCACCCAGCCCATTTCCAGTGAGCTGCGGGGCAGCTCCCAGCGTAGAGAAGCTGTGGAATGCCCAAGAATGATCTCTGCTCTGTAACCATATCCTGCATTTCATCCACGGATCTCAAAGGGCTTCACATACTAACCTTCACTACCCCCTGGTAACCCAAGAAATACTGTCCTCAGTTCAGAAAGGTAGAACAGACACACAGAGGATGATGGGGACTAACCCTGTGTCAGCTGACAAGTCTAAGGCAGATGGGAATAGAAAGTAGGTCACTTGACTCTCAATCACCCACTCAAAATACCGTATAATACTGAAATACAAGTTCTGCCATATGAACCTGAAACCCCTCTTCATAGCTCTGCCTGCTGCTGCATCACTGGGATGGATCTTTAGTAGAAAACTGGCCCCTCTTCAGGATGACTGTTACCACACACTAAGGTAATCCCATACTGCACCATCTCAAACCACAGCACATTCTTACACTCCCTTGACCCTTGTGCACTGACAAAGAGATCATTCCTGACCTGAACTTTCTTCCAGCACTCCAAATCAAAGGAACTTTCTATCTCACTCTGGGAGGTAATTCTCCTTCCCTGCCTGTCCTACCCTCTAGTTTTCAAAGGCCAGGTGAGGTTTGGGGGAAACAGGAGTGAATAGGAAAGAATACCACCCACCACTTCCCAGCAGCAAGTATGCAATATGTCATGCCTCTCACACTATGCCAACAGAGTATCACCATTTTGCAGATGGGGAAATAGGTAACTGAATTACCCATGGCCCTTGAGAAAAGCAGGGATAAGAACTTAGGGGTTCTTGCTCTCCACCCTATACTCAGACAATTCTGCAAAAACCTTTTAATGTCAGTTCTTCCACTCTCAGACTGGTTATCCCTCCAAGTTACCCAAGACAAGGTATGTATCTTTCTTTTTCCTTCACCAGAAATAAATTAACCAAAGGAAAATGCTATGGGTATGGACATACAACACAACTACTATGTACTTATTCTCTAGTAAGGAGCAGACACAATCAGCTCTCCCAAGCTAGCTGTCTGCAGTAGGTGCTATTATAGCACCTGGTCACTAAAGACTCTTCGTGTAAAGGCTACTCCTGCTGGAAGAGCAGACACATACTTATACAGCTCCATAACTCCTATCAGTTATTCCTTATTCATCTCTGCTGTACAGTTCAGAGATGTGCACTACATATGCTACAGGGGTGTAGGTTGTAGAAATGTGCACTACATATGCTACACACATAAAGAGACTGAACAGCTTCCACATGAGATGTCTGCATAAGATCCTGAAAATAAAGTGGGAAGACAGAACACCAAATGCCAGAGATATTGGAGTGTGCAGGACTGACACTTAGAAACCACTATCAAGAAGAGGAGGCTGCAATGGACCGACCACATCAGGAGAAGGGGAGGAGACTGTATCCCCAAGAATATTTTGTATAGCGAGATTTGAGATGGCTCTAGTAAGCAGGGTTACCCTCTATGATGATACCACAACATGTGCAAAAATAATATGAAGTCATTCAACATCAATGTAGAAAACTGGGAGGAGTGCACAAAATCCCATCCAATCTGGAGGGAACATGTTGCATTGGGTGCAGATCAACATGAAGTGGCTTTGATCCAGAGGCTGGAAGCAAAGCAAGAAAAAACAAAGCAGCATGCTGTAAATTTGGACTCCAACTCAGACAAAATATGAATCTGTGGAACTTGTAATCAGCTGTGTTGCTCTTGAGCTGGGCTCATCAGGCTTGCAACACAAATTAAAGACAACAAAAAGTCTTTTTTTAGGTATGTAGGGAGTTAAAGGAAGGCACAAGGCAGCATAGGACCCCTATTGAACAATAAGTGACAGAGAGGGAGGACAAGGCTGAGCTATTCAATGAGTTTTTTGCCTCGGTGTTCCTGAACAAGACTCAAGATAAGTCTCCTAATGGGTTCTTAGATGGGCATCAGAGGGACACCAGCCTACCAACATATCGACGCTGTCTTGGTGCATTCACTTGGATGGACTGGATGTGTTCAAGTCAGCAGGCCCGGATGAGCTGCATCCGAGGGTATTGAAAGAATTGGCCGGTGTCATAGCAGAACCACTGGCTTGTGACACCAGCACACGATTTCATACAATCTTCTTCATGTTCAAAGTTATTCTTGTTGCCATCACAACCTCCATAGGTGAAGCGGCTGCATTTCTGAGTGAAGGGGTTGTAGTACCAACGAGTTATGCTCTCCTGGCACAGCCCAGTGTCAGGCAAATCCACACAATGACCTGGCAAAGCAAAAGAGAGGTGTTCAAGCTCAGGCAACCTATCTGTAGAACATCCACACGTCTACTCTGGTGCCTATAATAGCACAGTTCATCCTCCAAAATACTTGGTGGAACTTATTTCCTAACATTAGAAATTATCAAGGATCCATAAACTCCAAACCAATTCCAATTTCCTGGGTTACTGTCACCCCCATAGTCCCTGGCACATTTTAAAGGGAGATGTGGCTAATCTAGGTGGCACTCCTGCCTTAGCTAAAATACCCTGATGTTCCCATTAGGAGAAAGGAAAATAGTGCCCCTCTTCCCTCTTGCCCATGACGGGCTTAGGCATGGAAAACAAATTAAACCCGCCCCCTTAGAAAAAGGTCAGAGAGAGGACTCCAGCAGCCAACTGCAGTAATCTAGAACAGCGATTCTCAACCTGGGTGCCACGGCACCCTGGGATGCCTTGAGATACTAAACAGTAGGGTGAAGTGCATACTCCGGATGGCAGGGAACGATTGCAACCAGACCTGGACAGGTTAGAAAAGAGGGCAGTACACAACAGGATGCAGTACAACAAGGACAAGTGCAGAGTGCTGCACCTAGGGTGCACACCTACTGGCTGGGAAGTGACCCTCTCAGCAGCACAGAAGGTCATAGTGGACTCCAAAATGAACGAGTCGTCAGTGTGATGAAATCACCAGCAAAGCTAACCGCACTTTATCATGCACCAGCAGATACATGACAAATAGATCCAAGGAGGTGATACTTCCCCTCTATGTGGCATTGGTCAAACCGCAGTTGGAGTACTGTGTCCAGTTTTGGGTGCCACACTTCAAGAAGGACAGATCAACTCAAGACGGTCTAGAGGAGACCACTCGTATGGTTAGAGGCTTACAGGACAAGCCCTATAAGGAGAGACTGAGGGACCTGGACCTCTTCAGCCTCCACAAGAGAAGGCTGAGAGGTGATCTTGTGGCCACCTACAAATTCATTAGGGGGACGCAGCAAGGGATCGGA